GATTCGACTTCAGTTTTGCGTAATCTCTCGAATGAATGTGACAAAATGGGACGAAGTGCGGATTTATCATTAGAAATTCGTAAAATTATTATTGAATTATACTTGACAACAAGTATTTTCGCGAAATTGACAAAACAATTGGCAGACCGCATTCTACAGTGCAAAGTGTCATTAATAATTCTAAATTCTGGTTGATTGAAAGCTAATCACCAGCAAGCCGGAAGGCTAATAATATTAACCCCACGTGAGGAGCGCAACATAGTAGCATAAGTTGTGCAAAATCCAAAAATAACTTCCACGATACTATGCCGAAATATTCAGGAGTCTGTGCAAAAAAATTAGCTCACAAACAGTCCTGCAGTATTTGCCTGCATAATGCTGGTTATCATTAATGTGACCAACTATTTCATACCTCAAAGAAGTACAGATTAGGTTGAGTTAAGTTAACACGCCGCGAGTCGATTACGAAATTTCGAATGCGGCTAATTTCAATCCCTGAGAGGTCAGTGTTTGTTCAGAAGTGCGAGCCAAAATGTTTCCATCTTAGCCTCGCGAAGGTTGGACAGTCTATAACAGGGGTGGGCAAGGCCGAGGCCGAAAAGAGTCACATGCAAATTCTAAATGCTACAAAGAGCCACAAAAAAAACAACATACACAAAAATTTTATTTTTAAATAAAATTATTATTAGAAATGAAAAACATTANAAAAAAAACAACATACACAAAAATCTTATTTTTAAATAAAATTATTATTAGAAATGAAAAACATTAATTTTATTATTATTCTAATGTACGTAAGATAGATATTAAAGAAAATTGAAAAGATCTCTTTGGCCAAATTTTCAAAATCTGGTTTTACGTCAGAAAAATCCGCTCGCAACAGTTCTGCTAAATGTTGGTTAGTCAATAGGTTCGTTTAAAATCTCCAGTAAAAAATTTCCAACAGCAAAATTCCGGCGAAATGTCATCTGTTCTCTCACGAGAGAGAAATATCTAAAATAGTACGTGAACAGAAAATTTGCAGAAACTTGCAAGTTAGACGAACAGCTGATAGAAATTTTGTTTACGTTCGAAAGTATAAAATTGAAGACGTAAGTAAACAAATCCCGAATACTTATCCTGATGCAGTTCACTGACACTTACAAGTTGAATTAGTCGCATTTAACTATTTATTTATTTATTTATTTATTTATTTATTTAATACCGTCAATGAAACAAAGTTTCTTACAGACTACTAACAACAAGTACATACATTTTTATATAAAGATTACAAGTATGTTACATACTAAACTTATGAAATTAATATGCTAAGCATTTAAAACAAGTTTAAATATCTACAGATAATGAGCGAAAAAGATTTACAAAAGCTTCTGTGGTCATTGAAAAATCAATGACGATTGTTTGAGACAAAATATTAAATTCTCGCATAGATCTTGCAAGAGGAGCATTGCTGGCGAATTTAGTTTTGACCTTTTTGCAGTAAAAAGGGTAAGTGACTCGGAGGTTACGCCTAGGAACATTAAAAGTAATCCTTTCCATGAGAGAAGGGCAATCAAGAATACCTTGAATAATATTGAATATAAAACTCATCGACAACATAGACCTACGACTATCCAAAGATTGTAGGTCAATAAGCATGAGACGCGAAGCATACGAAGGGACAGGATCGTCGAATTTTAAGGTTCTTAGAGCGAATTTAAGAAACACCTTTTGAATACGTTCTATTCTTTTAATAGAAACTTGGCTATAGGGCCTCCAAATGAAAACTGCGTACTCAAGACGCGAACGTACAAATGTTATATATAACATTTTCAGAGTGTAAGGGTCATAAAACTTAGTGGAATTCCGACGGATAAAACCAAGTACTGAGTAGGACTTTGCAATGATGAAGTCAACATGATTATTAAAGTTCAACTTCGGATCAAAGATAACCCCTAGATCTTTTACTTCAGTAACTTTGCGCAAGAAAGTATTTGAAATGCTATAGTTCGTAATACGGACATTCACAATTTTAGCAAACGTCATCTTAAAGCATTTTTTAATATTTAAAGAGAGTCTATAACGTAGACACCACTTCCAAACCATCAAATTCAATTTAGGGATTTGCATAAATTCCAACCAGCTGTTTTTGATCAGCTGTTTTCTTGTTGGCAAATTGCTGTTGGAAAAAATTTCCCTCAAAATGAAAAGTCATTTTGCTCTCTACCCCTACTCCCCTACTTTGCAAGTTTTTTGCGTACGCGAGCACAAAAAGCTGACAGTTTTTATAACTTTCAATAATTACACTGTATCACAAATTTTAATTTTGATTTTGTTCTCCTGATGCCACTATCCAATTTGTATGTAGAACCGCTCGCTGATTTCGAAAATCGAGTAATTTTTTTTTGTATGGATAAGTTTTCGATAAATTTGTATTTGTAAGTATATATATAATCGTAATGCAAGGTACAGTAAATGAAAGAAAATAAAATTCTCTATAAACCGTATATACATCACTTTTCCATAGCCCTGATAGTTTCTCAGAAATTAATTAATCATTCCCGATTTTTTTGTTTTTTTTTTTGAAGGAAAAATGCAAAAAATTCAAACTTTAACAGGGAAAAAGTAAAAAAATAACAGTTTCTGTGTAAATATTTTGCGCTTGTGTTAAAGCGTGTTCCTTTAGAAACGAAGCTACTAATGAAGAAAATCGATAGATAAATAAGAAAACAATGATTGGTCAAATGAAAATGTTCAAGGATTTTTTGTATGAAATATGAGCAGAAAAGAGTGTTACTCATACGCCACGTACGCCCGAGTAGGTAGAGTGTTTGGATCGAAAACAAGAAGCGTCAGAAATGATTAATTAATTTCTCAGAAATTATCTGGGCTATCGAAAAGTGATATATACACGGTTTATGGAGAATTTTATTTGCTTTCATTTCCCGTATCTCGTATTACGATTATTTAATTGGTTCGTAAGATATACGTGATTAAGTGAAACCACTATTTTTTAAAGTTGAATAACGGTAAATTGCAAATATCTCGGAAAGTTATCCATAGAAAAAAAAATCTCGATTTTCGAAATCATCGAGGAATTGTACATGGGAATTGGATAGTGGCATCTGGAGAACATTTTTGCTGTAAATCAGTGTTATCAGTTACGCGAATGCAACTAATTGTGAACGGTATTTTGACTTTACGAACTTCATTGTAGAGTACAAAGACTCAGTTATACGCTGAACCAAAAATTGAAAATATACCGCACGTAGCTGTTTTCAACAGCGGATATTTTAAATCTGATACTTGTAGCCCGAATTCAAGCAATGGCAAAGCTTTATGTTGCATTTCCAGTCCCTTATCTTCTTTTAATTCCAAAAACTTCAACTCTTCTTCGCGTAGGAGTATTTCGGATATTGTAAATTCAATCCCAATTATGTTACATAAAAAAGGGTTTATAAGGTTAAAAAACATACATTTTAATTATTTCAAATCGGCAAATTTTTTCTCAAAATCTGCTTTTAATCATGAGCAATATATTTTTCTAGCCATGGAAAATGATGAAATATTCTTTTTCTGAGATCATGAATAAAAAGACGTAGTTTAATTTGCGACAAAGCAAAAACATTTTTATTCTCTCCTTGTAGAGACAAATTAAAGTTTTGCAAATGTTCCATCATATCGGTAAAGAACATTAAGTCAGAAAGCCAATTTTCATTCTCCAATTGCGGGTAATATTCCGATCTCAATTTGCGTACGTGCATATAAAGAGAATAAAATAAAAAACAACGCAATGGAAAAGAATGTCCAGCAAAAAATATGTATTTTAAAAAGTAAAAAAAGCCAAAATGTTTTAAGCAAAGAGAAAGTAAAAAGAGCTATAAGAAAGTGTGGAGATGATTCCACTTCATCTTCTTCTTGACAGCTGATACAAAAGCATCGGTCGAAACCAGGGACCGTAACGGTTATAAGTTTTATTATAAAAATCACTTTTTAATCGTTATTAACTGAGTTTTATTTTTTGCTCAAAACATAACGATTATTTTTTGAGTTTTATTTTTTGCTCGGAAAATAATCGTTACGTTTTAAGTTTAATTTTTTCCTCGGAAAATAATGGTTACGTTTTAAGTTTTATTTTTTGCTCGTAAAATAATGGTNGTTTGTTATTGGTTAGGATTGGTGTTTTAGAAATGGAAAATTCAGAAAAATTGTTCTATGTTATATTGAATATTTAAAATATGCAATGTATATGGTTGCAATGTGTCGCAACTCTGCATATACAAACAGTTTGAATACCGCAATATAACGGTTTCCAAACATTAGGTAATGTCATTAGGTTACTAAAGCCAACTGCGGCCCAACAAAGTACTGAATAAAGGATTTTTTAATTTGATGTATTTTGGAACGAATTTCCGTCATTCTTGTCAAATTTGGTTTGGAGACAAACCGGTTTCGGCGTTGTGCCATCTTCAGTGTCATTTTCCGTTCTCTTTTTTTAATTATTTTTTTTTAATGAAGTATTCTTTATTTGCTTATGTACGAATAATATTTTTGCCTGAAATTGTATCTTATCGCCTTACTTCTTTAGTTTTTCTAATTCCAAAAATGAAATTGGAAGTTTTTGTTTTTTAAATATTGAATAAACATGTTATTTTTTATAACTTTATAAAAATTTTAATTTTTTTAATGTAAGTTTCAGCTGTTTATACTTCGAAATTGTGAGTGTACAAATAAATTGTGTTAGCACTGTAGATTCTATGATAGGGGTGCAAGTTTCCATTTGAATTTAACAAGGACTTAAGAAATCGTAAAACTTCGGAAACCGTCGAAATACGTTCGCGCAGTACAACTACAATTGGCAGCTTCCATAAAATTTTCGACAATTTACTTTCGAATTAACTTTAAAAGTATACATACATATTTCATGACTTGAGAGGTTTATTTTTGTTTTACACTGCATGCATGAACCCCACGGGGCATAAATTAATAATTTTTGCATACTTTTCATTTATAGTTCTTACCTGATTCTAGTTTTAAATCTACATTGTCCCGTGACATTGAACGGTAATCCATTTTTTTCCCAAAAACTGCCTTAATAAACACGTCTTGAGCGTGCTCTTGTCTTACTAAGTAATTCCACAATCTCCGTATAGGCCCAGTAGCTGAGCTGGACAGAAACGGAGTATTCTCTTTGTTTAAAAGAGAACGATATCTGTGAATTGCGGGTCCTTGGCTGCTGCTCTCAACGAAGCAACCTAAAAATTTAATTTAAAATAAATTGGTCAAAAGTAGAAAATTTTAATTTCGGGAAAATTGTATTGGCAGACATGTAGTACGAGTAAATCAGAAAAAATTATATGTAAACTAAGCAGAGACCTTAATTATTACACAAAAAACTTATTTTTAAAAATCACTTATGAGTTTTATCTACTGATCAGAAAATAATTGCTATTTACTGAGTTTTATTTATCCTAAGTATATAATTGTTATTTTTGGCTCAGAATTTAATCGTTGTTTTTTGATTTTTTTTTTTGAGGTAATATAACACTGGTTTGCATAAAAAAGGAACGACATCCTCCAATCCTCATCTAAAATCAGCGGCTGAGTCCGAAAATCCACAAAATTTCACATACGCATTAATTAAATAATGCTTAATAAATAATCATAATGAATACTAATTAGATCGTGTTTTTGTAAGAGAACAGTTTAAAGATTAAATACCATTATTCTTATTAATGATTACTATTTCATTACATTTAAAAATAATAATTTGGTTATTCGCTAGGGTGGTCCAAAAACAGTAAAGTCGGTATTGCAATGCTCTCACCCCCTAGGATTGTTCTATATTGAAAAAAAGTATTCCCCTATTTTTTATTTTGAAATCGAAAAATATTTAGAGGTCGCTCAAAGCGCTCAAAGTTTTCCATGTATTTTTATATTGGAAAAAAACCACTTTTCGTAGAAATGGTATGAATTCTTAAAAATAAATATTTTTCCATCGGAAAACTCTTGTGCTCTTTAGGAGACTTTCAATAATAATACCCAATTGATATTTAACCATTTTTTAATACTAACGATTTTTTATTGGTCCCCTCACTGCATTTTTCGGGGTTTTTGTGGCTTTATGGCGGAACTATAAATTATAGTTGCGATGAAAAAATGGTTAAAAATGGTTTTTCATCTCACCATTTCAAAATCTTATTGAAAAAACTCTTTCTGTGAATGCCGAAGTTGCAGAAATAGAGAGCATAAGCGAAATAATTTTAAGTAAATTTGGTAAATCTTTCTAAGTATTTTTTAAACTATTGCCTTTTTTGATCTGTGGACCATTTGTTTTAAAGTATATTTGTTTTAACATTGATATTTCAGTATGACATTTAATCCATTTTAAAACATTTCTTTCTTACAAATGACTGAAATACATTTATATTTATAATTGAAGGAATAGAGTATTTTTGCATACTATATTATTTTCCAACAGTATATAGTACGCAGACCCAAAATATAGTACAATACTATATTTTATAGTACGGTTGGCAACCCTACTTATGAGCAACATTCTCATTTCGCCTGGGTAACTAATACGCCATGTACGTATGTTCGACTTAAATTTTTCCGTGATAAAGGTTAGAGCGAATATGGATCTGCCATTTTGAATTTTTAAAACCTGATTTCAGATTCAGTCCCTAACGTTAGAGAAATTTTGATTTCTATATTAGATAACTAGGGTAATTCTCTAATCGTTCTCAAGTCGATGACGAAGTTAGAGAACTACATTAGAATTCGATTCGAGAACGATTATAGAAACAACGCAAATTCAAATAAATGTAAATAAGCAATATTCCAAATGAATAATTTATAAATAATACTTAAGTTTAAATAATTCATTATTATTTTATTGCAAATGCATTCAACACAAATTATACAAACAAAGCGTGTTATTTATTAAAGCAAAAGAGCAGTTTGAAATTCACATTCGAATCCCATTAGAGATCAACATTAGAATTCGATTAGGGAATTAATATTTTCTCGAGTCGAGAACTATGTCTCATTTTTGTTGAGATCGCTATGATTCTCGATAGTTTTTCGAGTCGTTCTCTAACGTTTGAGATTGGAGAATGTGGCTAGTTCTCCAATCATTCTCTAATCGATAACTAACCTCAATGCTTGCTGGGAAGAACCCCTAATTGTAAAGTTGTAAGCAAATCCAATCGATTTTGATTTTTTTGTCCGCCATATTGGGTCCGCCGTTTTGAATTCTTCTAATCCGACTACAGATTCGTAATCGGCGACCCCAAAACCCCACGAGTAACGAATTTTAAATGAATCCGGTAAATTTTTAAAAAACCTTCCGCCATATTGGATCCGCTTTTGAATATTGAAATTCTGATGGCACATCCGTGATTAGCGACCCTAAAAACATTAGAATCCGTCATGACCAGGCATGGGCAGAGAACGAGTACACGCTCAAAGAGCATAACCATCGCGTGTACGTATACAAGCGAGGGCGTAACGATGAGAACGCGACAGCATGCAAAATTAATAAAGCACACCAACACATTCTCACTTTTAGCTAACGCTTGTTTGTGGTAGTGCCCACGTCTGGTCATGACCTAGTAACCGAACACTATTTAAGAAACTGAATGACAAATTTATTTGCGCGTTTATTAAGGGTCGTAGCATTTAGTAATATTGAATTTTCAATTCCGCCTCGTTTTAATGAAATCAATCCAAATGACTTTGCACTTAAAACAGTCACTTTCGGCGTAAATTGCGCCCCATATCTGGCAATCCGTACTTTACATCAATTAGCAAAAGATTCCCAACCAAACGCATTCTTACCGAGAAACATATGTCGATGACATATTATCCGGAGGCCATGATATCCCATTCTCTTTAAACGCACAATCACCACTCATTCAGTGTTTATTATCGGCTGAATTTCCNTACACGCTCAAAGAGCATAACCATCGCGTGTACGTATACAAGCGAGGGCGTAACGATGAGAACGCGACAGCATGCAAAATTAATAAAGCACACCAACACATTCTCACTTTTAGCTAACGCTTGTTTGTGGTAGTGCCCACGTCTGGTCATGACCTAGTAACCGAACACTATTTAAGAAACTGAATGACAAATTTATTTGCGCGTTTATTAAGGGTCGTAGCATTTAGTAATATTGAATTTTCAATTCCGCCTCGTTTTAATGAAATCAATCCAAATGACTTTGCACTTAAAACAGTCACTTTCGGCGTAAATTGCGCCCCATATCTGGCAATCCGTACTTTACATCAATTAGCAAAAGATTCCCAACCAAACGCATTCTTACCGAGAAACATATGTCGATGACATATTATCCGGAGGCCATGATATCCCATTCTCTTTAAACGCACAATCACCACTCATTCAGTGTTTATTATCGGCTGAATTTCCACTGAAAAAGATTACAGCCAATCATGCACAACTTTTAAAAAATATCCCAACAGAAGATTTGCTGGAATCAGACTTTCTCTAATTTGATAGATCAAGTTCCATTAAAACGCTCGGCATACGGTAGAATGCCCTAACCGATTCATTCCCATATTCTGTCAAATTCTTTCGTCGGTGTCGAAACTTTTTCCAGCTTCCGCTCGGAAAATATGAGTTATTCCTCTGGTGCAATTCATCTATAGTCGTCTCGTGGTTGGAAAAACCACCATGTACTTGGAAAGTATATGTGGCAAACCGTACAACCCAGATAATCAAAAATGTCGGAAACGTCAGATGGAGGCATATTTCATCTAACCGAAACGCGGCCGATTTGGGAACACGCGGCTGCAAGCACCAAGAGTTAGTCCATAACTCACTTTGATGGAACGGTCCCAAATGGCTAGTAAAACCTAAGGAGCAATGGCCAATATCCTTTCAACAAAAAACTATTCCCACCGAGATTCGCAAAATTGAAAGTCTTCATACACTAGAAGAGGACATTCTGAGTCGAGTTTCATCATGCCCCATAGCAGTACGAGTTATTTCATACATATTTCGTTTCTTTAACCAAATTAAACCACATCATATGCAGTCCACTTCAGAAGCTGCATACGAAACAATAGTACTTTCGGAAGCCGAAATCCAATTTGTGAAAATTCGACTAATATTGCTCGCTCATAAACGCAATTATCCAAACGAATATTCAAAGCTTTAAAACTCCCAAACAGTATAAAAACGGAGTTCACTTCTTTCATTAAATCCATTCCTGGATAAAAATGGTATTCTTAGAGTAAATTTACGTTTGGCAAACGCTTCGCTTTCTTATAATGCAAGACATCTCTAATTATTCTGCCAGGAACATTAAGATTTTGCAATTTATTCCTCCAATTCATTGATAATTTGCTAATGCACGAAGAATATCAACTCATGATAAGAATGGCCAAACACGAATATTTCATTCTGAGACTCAAATCCAAAATTAAACAAACAATTTTCAGTTGTAAGACATGTACAATTTATAAGCAAAAAATGCAAACCCAAATCATGGCAGCATTACCGACTGGAAGATCATTTTCCTCTAAACCTATTCAATTACTCACTCCTCTATTTGGAATTCCACTTTCACTGTCTAGTTGGTCTACTAGTCTTAGCTCATATTGATTTATAAGTGATTATACATAATTTAAGAAATTTTGTCACATACTTATGTACATGCACTGTAATTTATAACCTCTGGTTGTTGTGCATGTATTTTTTATTATTAAATAAATACAAATAAAAAAGATCATCTTATTCTTTACCATTTACTCGCACCGGAATCGATTTTGCGGGTACTTTCGACATAAAATCTGCTAATACCCGTAAGGCAGCCTTTCCCAAGGGTTATGTGTGCGTCTTCGTATGCTTTTAGACAAAAGCAATACATTTAGAGCTCTGCTGAGATCTTTCGACAAAAGCCTTCCTAGGCGCTTTTCCCCGCTTCGTCGGTCATCGTGATCTACCTCACCTAATTTTCTGACAATGGAAAAAACTTGGTCGGAGCCAGTCGAGCTCTACACAAAGATTTTCAACAATTTCTCAAGGAAGTTTCGTTCGACACCCGCTCACAGTAATCCTCAAGCATGTATAGGTTCGATTAAAATGGACCAAAAAAATTTGTTGATGGAGTGCAATGGGGTATAGTCGTTGCTCTGGGTATGCAGTTACAGTGGCATGGCTATACTCAATCCCGACTCTTGCGTCCTCGTTCGCGCACTATGGGCAACGTGAGCAACCCATGTGCGAG